CAGAAAACCCTGTCTCGAAAAACAAAAACAAACAAAAAGGGGGGCCGGGGGGAACCTAGCTTGATTTCACAGTAACTGGGTTCTCAAGAAAAATCAAAGGAGTCCTCCTTTTTCCATTTTGTTTCCTCTCCATCACTGCCACGGGCAGAAGCAAAACTACTCTGGGGTTCTTTAATAACAGAACAGAGAGAACACAAGACCAGGGTCCAGCTGTGAGGGAATGGGGCTGTTGGATAGGAACTCAAGTGGGCTGTGAACAAGTTAGGGTTAGGAGAGGGAAACAACCGCCTTGATGCCACCAACGAGGAAAGTCTCTCGCGTTTGAATTCGTCTTGGGCCTCCAAACTTGGGCATGGATGATCTTCTCTCTACTCCTCAGACTCCAGCTCCATCCTCTGAGGATTGTAAGTGGGGTTCCTCCTGGCTGTAACAGTGTTGTGGGCCAGACAGCTTAGCTGCCCAGAGGCATAATGCCCCTCCTGGCCTAAGGGAGTCCAGGGAGACCAAAGCAGCTGTAGATGAGAAAGGGGTGGGTGGGGTGAAAAACAGGTCTCTCCAGATTTCTTTTCTTTTTCTTTTTCTTTTTCTTTTTGAGACATGGTTTCTCTGTGGCTTTGGAACCTGTCCTGGAACTAGCTCTTGTAGACCAGGCTGGTCTTGAACTCATAGAGATCTGCCTGCCTCTGCCTCCCAAATGCTGGGATTAAAGGAGTGCGTCACCACAGCCGGGTCCCTCTCCAGATTTCTTAATGGCCAAATCCAGACATACTGTCCTCCTCCCCACCCCACCCCAAGGCTTGGGTTTATGACTACTACTTGGCTCCTGGCTTCTGCTACCTCCCAATTTGAGACCATGCATTGACATCCCCTTCCATCTTCCCAAGTTCATCTCCAGTCATACCTGATCTCTGGGAGTGACAAAGTAATTCTCTTCCTGTGCATAGGTTGCCCTCTCTTCTTCCTCGTCAAGGTATTCAGTGGTGCCGAGGAATCCACAGCCATCTTCAAGTACTGGGAGCTCAGATGTAGACTCAGAGCTACCCCATTGGGCCTTCTTCAGTCTGTGGAGACATTAGGTTTAGGAGCCATCCAGGTGCCAGGAGGTCAGGCTGCCAGCTTCTTCATTCCTCACCCTCTTGGCTGAAGTACTTCTTGCTCAGACTCATGGGTGTTACCATTTGACCCTCAACTCACCCCAAATTTTTGTTCTCCACAGAGAGAAGAATTTTCAGTTCAGGGACCCATCAGTGACCCCCTAATTTCCCCTAGTTCAATGGTGTGCATCATGGGCTATTTCCTCCTTCCAGCTAATGGGACTTATCTTTCATCCCTCAATTGCTTCTTTCCGTATTATAGAAATTATGTTTGAGGGCAAGCAAGATGACTTAGCAGGTAAAGGCATTGCCACTAAGCCTGAAGATCTAAGTCAGGACCCAGATGATGGAAGAAGAGAACCAATTCCCATAAACTGTTCTCTGACCTCCACACACATGCTGTGGCATGCAGTACATATGTATACACATAATTAAATGCAAAAAATAAAGAAGAAGAAATTATGTTTGACTCACACCAAGGGCATAGTTCCTTTCCAAAAACCAGTGAATTTTCCCAAAGCTCTCCACTTTCTTTAGTTCAAATTACCCTGCCACCAATCCCTGTTTGGCTCCCAGAGGCCATGACTCCTTACTCATTGATGATTCTCTGTCCTCCTCAGGTCCTCCAGGTGATAAGTGACAGCTCTAACACGGGCTGGAATGTTCCCCCTTTGCATTCTTTCCAAATGCAGCTTCTTTCTCTTTCTTCTCCAGAGCTTTTCAGGAGGGGGGAGCCCCTCAACAGGGTGCAGGCCAGGCTGGGAGCAACCAGTGGTCCTCTGTGCCAAAAAGGAAGAAGAGTTGCTAAATGGTTAGACAGATGTTGGTTTCAGGGGAATTTGGGCTGAACTAGAGAATTGGGGGTCTTAGGAAGTTCGGGTATGAACTGGAAAACAGGATGCTTGCTTTACAGTAAAAGTGGCCTGGTTAGTAAGTATACTGGTTGGGAAATACCAGAGAGAAAGGATAATAAGGATAGGAAGGCAGTGAGCACAATTTAACAGAAGGTTGAGGAGCAGAGTCTGTTATACCAGTGCTGGTGGAATGTGCTGTTCTTCCATCCAGTTGGAGCTGAGAAGAACAAAAACAGGAGCTGGAGTCAGAAGGATATCCTAATAAACCCCATTTCTCCCATAAATCCTCCCAACCTCCTGTTGGAGCTACAATTCTCATCAAGTAGTGTGATATAACCTCCAAACACAGGCTTATTCATGTAAGGATTTAATAATCTTTAAAAATAGTCTAGTCTCACCTTCCCACCTCCAGCTTCTGGTTTCTCCTCTACTCACCTAGACCTTTGGCTAAGATTCTCCCAGAAGGTATCTCCATAAGGCTGAGGTATTGGCCTGCTACTCTGGGAAAATCGGGTGACCACCCTGGAACACCTGAAATGAGAACAAGGTAGGCACATGTCTCAGAGCAGTGGTTCTCAACCCATGGGTTACAACCCCTTGGGGGTTCAAACTACTCTTTTACAGGGGTCACCTAAGACCATCGGAAAACACAGATATTTACATTATGATTTATAATTAGCAAAATTACAGTTATGAAGTAACAATGAAAATAATTTTATGGTTGGGGTCACCACAACAGGAGGAACTATTGAAGGGTCACAGCATTAGGAAGGTTGAGAACCACTGTCTTAGAGCATCTGCTCTCCCATTGGATTCAGTGGTATGGTGGTTCTTTCCATGGGATCCTACAGCTGTCCACGTGCATGCAAGCCATGCCTTTTCATTCATCCTCTCCCTTCACTCTTCCCTCCCACCTCTCTTTTGAGACAAGGTCTCATTATACAGCTCTGGCTGTCCTGGAACTTGCTATATAAATTAGGCTAACTGTAAATTTAGAGATCTGCCTGTCTCTGCCTTCCAAGTGCTGGGAATAAAAGCATGAGTCATGATGGGTGTAGGTGACACACACCTTTAATTCCAGCTCTAGGGAGGCAGAGTCCAAGGCAGATGGATCTCTGTGAGTTTGAGGCCAGCCTGATCTACAGAGTGAATTCCAGGATGGCTTTGTGGTGGTGGGGGCCGTTGGGAGAGATCATGAGTCACAATGCTTCCTCTCCCCTGACTTTTTAAGATAGGGTCTCATGTATCCTAGGCTGGCCTCAAACTCAATGTGTTACCAAGGATGAGACTGTTGAGGATGGCTCTTTCTATCAGCCTGGTCCCACAGCTCACATCGCCTCAAAAGAACACACAGACACCATATTAATTATGAAACTGTTGGCCAGTGGCTTGGACTTCTTACTGGCTAGCTCTGTCTTAATTATTAACCCATAACTACTAATCTGTGTATTTCTACATGGTCTTATCTTACCAGAGAACGCCTGACTCGAATCCTCTCTTCCAGGGATCACATGACAACTCCTCTCTCTGTCTACTCTTCCCAGAATTCTCCTCATCTCCTAGACCTGCCTGTCTTCCCGCCTGGCCAATCAGTGTTTTATTCATCAACCAATAAGGGAAACATATACAGAATAACATCTCCCATAATGGGACCTTGCACTTAAGATCCTCCTGAATCAGATGGATCTCTGTGAGTTCAAGGCCAGCCTGGTCTACAGATCAAGTTCCAGGACAGCCTCCAAAGTCACAGAGAAACCCTGTCTCAAAACAAAAACAAAAACAAAAACAAAAACAAAGAATAAGAAAATAAAAATAAAAATAAATGAAATTTTAATTTATTTTATTTCATACTGTATATATGTTTTGACGGTGTGTGTATCTGTGTATCATGTGCATGCGGGGTCCACAGAGCCTGAAATAGTGTATCAGATCCTCTGAAACTGAAGTTACAGATGTCATGTGGGTGCTGGGAACTGAATCTGGGTCTCTGGAAGAGCAGCCAGCACCCTTAATCACTAAGACATCCCACAAACCCCTGTTCTCTTTATTTTTAAGGATATATTCTTTTTATTTTCTGAGTATGGATGTTTTGCCTACATATATATCTGAGCATCACATTCAAGCACTGCCCACAGAGACTGGAATAGGGCATTGGGGTCTTCTAGACCTGGAGTTACAGATAGTTTTTTAGTTGCCATGTTCATGCTGGGAATTGAACTCAGATCCAACAAGTGCTCTTAATTAATGAGTCATCTCTCTAGTCCCTGCTTCTATTCTTATTCCCCTCTCCCAGATGCTACTACACAGAGTAGGAGAAAGTAATCTTTTTTCCCCTCTGTCTCTGTCTCCTGAGTCCAATGAGAATAATCTTTTAAAATGGTATCATTTTGGCTCAGTGGTTAAGAGCATTTACTGTTCTTTCAGAGAGCTGAGGTTTGGTTCCCAACACTCACATCAGGCAGCTCACAACTGCCTGTAAACTCCAGCTTTAGGAGATCCATCATCCTCTGGTGCATGTGTGTAATCTCAGCACTTGGGAGATAATGACAGGAAAATCAGTATAAGGCTAGCCTAAACTATATATGACTGCACTTCAAAAACAAGCAAAGGGGCTGGTGACATGGCTTAAGAGTTAGTGCTTGCTGCTTAATCATGAGGACTGGACTTCAGATCCCAGAACCCATGTAACAAGCTAAGTGTCCCTCACACACCTGTAACCCTACATCTAAAGGGGCCCAAGACAGGACTGTTGGGGCTTGCTGGCTTCTACTCTGAGAAAATGTGAACTCCAAGTTCAGAGAGAGACCCTGCCTTAAAGGAAGAGATGGTTTGACTAGAGAGACAGCTCAGTAGTTAAAAGCACTTGTTGCAATCCCAGAACTCGGGAGGCAGAGGCAGAGGCAGGCAGATCTCTGTGAGTTCGAGACCAGCCTGGTCTACAAGAGCTAGTTCCAGGACAGCCTCCACAGCCACAGAGAAACCCTGTCTCGAAAAACCAAAAATAAATAAATAAATAAATAAAAAATAAAAAGCACTTGTTGCTCTTGCAGAGGACCCAGATTAGGTTCCCAGAATCCACATGGTGCACATACATACATGCTGTCAAAACACTCATACACATAAAATAAGACAAATAATTTTTTCTGTGTAGCCTGGCTATCCTGGAACTCACTCTGTTGACCAGGCTGACCTCAATCTCACAGAGATTCTCCTGCCTCTGCCTCCTGAGTGCTGGGATTAGAGGCAAGCACCACCACTGCCTGGCCTATAAAATAAAATCTTTAAAAAAATTTAGAGAAGAATAGATAGTGAGTGATAGAGATACTTCATACCTTTTGGCACCCATGTGTGCAACATGGTGTAAATACCTGCACATATATGTGTGTATAAATTCACAGACACATATAAATATAAATAAATCTCTAAAAATTGAGGAGGGGTAGATAGGTAAAAGGAATATCAATATAATGAAAATTATTGAATCTCACTGAAAAGAGAGTTCATAATACTCTTTCTCTACTATATTTATTTGAAATTTTCCATAATAAAAAAGGTCAAAGGAAATAAGTGTGATTTTTTTACTTCCTTGCTTAAAACTTTCTATCCCCACCATCTTCAAAATAAAAATATAACATTTCACCTATGGCCTACAAGGTTTTCTATGATCTGGCTTTTGCCTAACTCTCTTAACTTTATTCTTCCCTTTATTTTTTTTCAGTCAATAAGTTTCAATTACATTGGCCTAACCTGTTACTAGAACATTCCAAGTTTATTTCCTTCTTGCCTCCACCATTCCCATTCTGCAGACAAACTCCATCTCATTTCCAATTAACTTCTACACAATAGTTTTCTACAGTGACCCTAACCTTATATCTCCTCTATGTTCCCTCATTTTATACTTGTCTATCCTTTTGGGTAGTTCCCATAACTAGGTGTAATGATGCTTATTTATGTTTGTTCTGCCACTAGCCCCATGAGAGGAGGACCCCTTTTTTCCTAATTGGTGAATCTCCAATGTCTATTATAGTGCCTAGAACATTACAGTGTTCAAACCCTGTTGGGGCTGGAGAGCTGGCTCAGTGGTTAAGAGCACACACAATGCTATTGCAGAGGACTGGAGTTCATTCCCCAACGCCCATGTCAATGGGCTCACAGCTCTCTGTAACTCTAGTTCTAGGGCATTCCAGGCCTTCTTCTGGCCTCCATGGACAATTTAAAATAAAATAATAATAGTAAACCATTTATTGAATAAATTAATGAACTATCAGACCCCTAAACACAGGCGCAGAGGTTCCTGTTCTTCTTTCTTACTCCTTTCTGAGAAGAATCCAAGGGTGCAGTCTCCCCAGAATCACATCCTTATCCTTCCCAACCAATAGGGAGAACTCACTTGGCAAAAGGGAGGATGTTGTCTCCATTTTCCTGTCCTTGCATGACTGGACTCAGTTGGGTAGCAGGACTGGATCTCCTCCTTGGTGCTTGGAGGATAATGAATAATGAATCATTCACTCATGTAATGGCTGTAGGGACCAGACCATCAGCAAGTGTAGAGATAGGAAAGGGACTAAACATCCTAAAAAGAGCTGAGTAGCTCTAAGAGTGATAATAGTGCTGTACTATTAACTGAACATGTAAAGTTGGAGGTAAAAACAACAGGAAATGTGGATAATGTAAAAGAGGAATTTTTCTCGAGCTAAAAGGTAAGTGAAAATTACAGATGCAAGTTAAGTTAACTGTAACACAAGATGATGAAACGAAAAGCATGGCAGGTAAAAACTGGATGGGTAGAGGCCTTTGGCAATAGTTGGGACAGAACCGGTGACTGGGACAGAGAAGTGGAGGGATTGAGGATTGGTAATAAATTGGATATGAAAGGTTAGTGAAACTGTGGAAAAAGTAACAACAAAGGAGGGAACAACTGAGATTGTCTACATCAGTGGTTCCCAACCTGTGGGTCGTGATCCCCTGGGTGGCCCAACACCCTTTTCACAGGGGTTGCCCAAGACCATCAGAAAACACAGATATTTACATTATAATTATAGCAGTATCAAATTGACAGTTATGATGTAGCAACAAAATAATTTTATGGTTGGGGGTCACCACAACATGAGGAACTGTATTAAAGGGTTGCAGTGTTACCTTTAGGTTGAGGACTGCCAGACTACAGTAAAGTTAAGAGAGAAATCAATTGCACAGAAACTTTCTTGAGAAATCTGTACCCATCCTTGGGTGTGCACAGTCCTTTTCCTGAACTCTTCTTCCTTCTAAGATTTACTTACTAATTTTTTTTTTTTACTGATGTGTGTTGTGCGAGCCTGTATGAGTTTATGTGTATGCAGGAGTTGGAAGAGGACAGAAGAGGTCCTGTGCAAAAGGAACAAGGGCTCTTAGTCACTGAGCCAACTCTTCAGCCCCCTTCCCTTTTTCTTTTAATGCCTATGGTTAAATCTATTTTTAGAACTTTTTCTTAATAAACTCCACTTGTGGAGATGGAGAGAGAGGTGACTCAGCTCCTCAGAGAACTTGCTGCTCTTGTAGAGGACCTGGGTTTGGTTCCCGGCCCCCACGTGGTGGTTCACAACAATCTGTAACTTCATCTGACACCCTCTTCTGACCTCTGTGGGTACCAGGCACACACGTGGTGCACATATGTATATGCAAGCGAAACATACATAAAAGTGAAATAAATGAAACCTCAGTTGCACAGAGCCAGCATTTGGGACAAAGGTGACCTAGATATGGTGAAAGGTGTGTGTATGTGGTGTAATTATATAGAAAAGATTTAAAAACACTAGCTATGAGGGTTGGAGAGATGGCTCAGTGTTTGAGTGATTGATGCTCTTGCAAAGGACCTGAGTTTGATTCCCAGCATTCATGTCAGACAGCTCACAGCCACCTGTAACTCTGGCTCTAGAGGATCTGATGTCCTCTTCTGACCTCAAGTGCCCACATCCTCAATAGATCCCCATGCAAAAACAAGAGCACACACATAATTATAATTAATTTAAACTTTTTTTTTCTTTTTTAAGACACGGTTTCAGCCGGGCGTTGGTGGTGCACGCCTTTAATCCCAGCACTCGGGAG